AGTCTGGCAGTCTCGCAAAGCCACCAAATAATCACTCACAATGTATTTCACTCTGACCTGATTGGGCTCTATTATGCATCAAATGAGGTGGAAACTTACATTCCAGGCAGAGGACTTGACAGGTAGTGGTACCCTGCCAAATAAAAGGGATTTTGGGTAGCACAGCACCCTAATATTAACATTGATGTATAAATACTGCATAGTCTATCCCAGACTGTAGAGTTTGGTCTGTACGGGGAATGTGTTCCCTGCACTAAAATTATTTGGTCAAATTCTCTCTGCACATATGTAGTTCTTGGATAACTTTCCATGCACACTTAGTTCTCTTTTAAATTATCTTCCATGCATAGAATTCTTTTGACCTTTCAGCACACTTGTTTTATCATCCGTCCGCACAAATATAGACAAAATGATGTTTTCTGCAAATGAAAAAATTGTAATATTCCCCACGCAAGAAAAATACTGTACAGTCTAGAGTCTATCCCTACAATTTTTTCAGTATACATATACAACAACCCTTCCTGAGCAGGACCTCAGCCATTGTAGCAGACCCCCGCAACCTGCAGCGCGGTATACTTATCCCAGGTTGGGTCCAGGTCCACACAGCCTGTCCTCTCACCCTCACCATCAGCAGCTTCTCGAAGATGCATACCAAGACCTGATTGGTTGACACCGGACACCTCAAGGCTCGCCTATTGGACCGCAGGCTCCCCTCGTTCCCAGGTAGCTGACACAGCTCAGCCCTACTTAAGCTCCAGCGCCCGGGTCGAGTTCAGCACTCACCGATCCTCCACCAGAGCAAGATCACAGCAGCAGCAACTAGGCCTACCCAGGCCTTGGCCATCAGGGGAGCCGCTCCGGCTCTCCCCCGTCGATCTCTAGCACCCAGCCATACCTGTGGGCACTTACACCCACACACAAAAGCTCCTTAAAGAGATGATTGACACCAGTCTATGGCGGATGCAAATCCACTGACATACCATTACAGGTATGACCTGTTGGATCAGTACTAAACCAACCATACCATAAGACTCCCAAAAAGGAGTATGTAACTAGGATCTCACTAGCTCCATAGACATTACTCATCTACTCATACTAGAGTAATGTTATTGAAGTTTTACATACATGCCTAAAAAGTCTTTTATTAATGTTATTATACTTCATTTGCATATTTTGATATTTATAACTATACCCTCATATAGAATCATGCCCATCAAGTGTTTCACGCTTTCTTGCGGCAGCCACAGGTTGATAGGTCATCAGCCTGATCATTTCGAGCTAGAACGCCATTGAGAAATGTTGTGTTTCCAGTGTTGTGTTGATTCTGGGTTCTTTTAAGACTTTTACAGTGGCATCGAAGAATAATTAAACTTTAGTAACCATCCCAGTTTTATATCTGGGCCCATCAAGAGCTCCAAATGACGAAAAAGGTGATTAAAGTCAAAGCAATCCTGTAGAGTTTGGCCAAAAAGTGGGTTGGGTTCCTGTAGAGTTTTTGAATTCTGGCGCGCAAGCCCGTAGAATTTCAAAGATAGTGGTTACATTGGTAGAGTTTCACTAGCTGATTTTAAGCATTTTTTGTGCTAGTTTTACGCATTTTTTATCTTTATACTTCTTATTTAAGCCTGTTTTACCCCATAATTTCCCTGATGTACTTCGTACAAACAGAAATATGTAAAACTAGCACAAAAAACAATGAAAATCGAACATGTCCGCCACCTTTGAAAGTCTATGCACCAACGCACTAAAGTTCGAAAAACTCTACGGGAATCCAACCCATCTTTCGGCAAAATCTACAGGATTTCACACCTTCCAAACCCCCCAAAACGCCCTGACCCTTAACCCAACCTAACCTAACAATTTAGGTGCCGTGACTAGGCATGCCCTTCAGGCACCACCCAAGGAGAGTCAGTGGGTTGGTCTATTGTGGATGTGATCGCTTCATTTTTCTCACTTTTTAGGGGATTTGGGGTACCTGATGGCCTCAGAAATCAAAGTGCGACAGTTATTAAGGTCTTTTTCTTCTTTGTTTCCACTGTATAGTCTTAAGACCAACCTAGAATCGACATAACACTGAAAACGAAACATTACTTGCCGGCCTCCTGTCACTAACTGCCTGGGAAACATCCTGTCAAACCTGGCGGCAGAAACACGAAAATGCGTGTGCACAGAAGGTTCTTCAGATAAATTCCCTTAAATCACTATCTAATAAATCCTGAAACATGAACATGAGATAACAATATTAACAAAGGCCTTTTAAAGCATATATGTGGAACAGCAGACACTGATAATTAGCCAAATATCGTTTTGACAACTACGTAGTAATACATGAACTACTTAACAGAGCGCAAGAATGAGTTGACTGGTCATACTTTTGCTTACATTCATGATGTCAACATGGTGAGGGACTTTGAAAAAGATGGGTCGGTCTTTTCTTTTCTCTGTTGTGTAAATTTGCACACCTTATACCATAGATGGAAAGTGTCTTATTCAACGTCAAGGTAACCGTTCCATATCTTTTTTTTACTCAATTCTTGATTGTTATCCACTGTAAATTTTCCCCGAATCTTCAAATGAAAGCCTGTTCTGTAAAATTAGCTTAGCAAAGGGCATTTTTTATCAATAATCTCACAATTTCTCCTAATCCAGAAATGCTATACTCCTATGGAGTTCATGAAATATCAAAAGCTGGATTTTCTTCTTTTTTTTGACAAAAATAGTTATTTTACTTACCTACTGATAAATTCGGTAATTTTCTATACTACCTTCACCTCTCCGATATCGAGGATTTTGGTATCGTTGGATTCCTCTCACTCTGTACAATCCAAATATGTAGGTTTTATTGAGCGGAAACCCCCCGTTAGCGGCAAACTTAGTGGCCCCGATAGCAGGGGCAACGATGTTGGAGCAGCGGTCGGAGCGGAGGACGCAATATAGAAAATTACCCTAATAATGTAATCCACAGTGAAAATAACCATTGTTATTCACATGACTTTCCATTGCAGGGGGCTGTGCCCCCTGTGACCCCCCCTGAGCTACCGCCCCCAAACCCCCACCAAGGAAACAAAATATCCCCCACGTGTTCACGGCAGGATAGAGTGCACACGAGCTAGATGCATCGAGAAAGGCGCAAAACCCACCAAGCCAACGAAGGCGGGCCACCAACACTCTTCTGTTCATGGTATACCTTGTTCATCCTGATTATACTACAATCGTCTCTGTATACAATGCTGACTATGTCAAGGTTAGTATGCTGATTCAGTGGGAATGTTATGAGGTAAATGTAATACGTCCGCCACTCCGAGATCGCCAATAACTGTGTAACCCTCTAGTCTGCCAGGGATATGTGGTGGAGGTTTTTTTTCCTCGGCGGGGGTTGGGGGCGGCAGCGGAAACCCCTTGTTAGCGGCAAACTTGGGTCCTATATCGGGGACGACAATGTCGGATCGGCGGCCGGCGCGGCGGCCAGAGCGGCGGCCAGAGCGGCGGCCAGAGCGGCGGCCAGAGCGGCGGCCGGAGCGGCAGACGTAATATAGAAAATTACCCTTATAATATAACCCACAGTGAAAATATCCATGGTCATTCAGATGACTTTTCATTGTAGGGGGCTGTGCCCCCTGTGACCCCCCCAGCAGGAGCTGCCACTTCCTAACCCCCGCCGAGGAAACAAAATATCCACCACATATTCACGGCAAGATAGAGCAGATACGAACTAGATGCGGAGCCGATAACTTATCCTACCATAACCTGGTACCTAGTAGGAGCACCCTCCACACTCGGTCATCGCGGCGGCTATGGCGAAGTACTGAACGCGGTGGTTATTTTGGTTAGGAATTTGAAAATCGTGGTTCCAGGGGACGGAAAACTCGACCTTGAGGCCATCGGTGTAACATCGAGAGAGGCGCAAAACCCGCCGACGAGGGCGCTCTTCTGTTCATGGTATATATACCCCATTCATCGTGATTATACAACAATTGTCTCTGTATACAATGATGACTATGTCAAGGTTAGTATGCTGATTCAATGGAAATGTTACGAGGTAACTGTAATATGTCCGCCGCTCTGAGATCGACGATAATTTTGTAACGCTCTAACCTGCCGGGAATTCGGGGTGGAGGTTTTGTTTCCTCGGCGGGGGTTGGGGGGGTGGCAGCCCCTCAAGGGGTGGTCGCAGGGGGCACAGCCCCCTGCAATGGAAAGTCATGTGAATAACCATGGTTATTTTCACAGTTTGTTATATCATTAGTATTATTTAACCCCGCATTTTCCCTGGAACCTTCCATGCCCTCCCTTGCTATCGGGGCCAAGTTTGTCGCTAACAGGGGGTTTCCGCGCAATAAAAACTATATAATTGCAATGTGGACAGTGAGAAAAATCCCACGATACCAAAATCGTTGATATCGGAGAGGCAAAGGTAATATAGAAAATTACCATTATTTTCACTGTGGGTTATATTAATAGTGTTATTTAACCCCTCATTTTCCATGGAACCTTTCAAGCCCTCACCTGCTATCGGGCCCAAGTTTGTCGCTAACGGGGGGGGGTTACCGCGCAATAAAAACTACATATTTGCAATGTGGACAGTGAGAGGAATCCAACGATACCAAAATCGTTGATATCGGAGAGGCAAAGGTAATATAGAAAATTACCATTATTTTCACTGTGGGTTATATTAATAGTGTTATTTAACCCCTCATTTTCCATGGAACCTTTCAAGCCCTCACCTGCTATCGGGCCCAAGTTTGTCGCTAACGGGGGGGGGTTACCGCGCAATAAAAACTACATATTTGCAATGTGGACAGTGAGAGGAATCCAACGATACCAAAATCATTGATATCGGAGAGGCAAAGGTAATATAGAAAATTACCATAAATTCTAAATGCTGTGAATTCTTCCATTTAAAAAAGTAAAACTCAAACATGGGGAGGTACTTGAAGTACACCATCTAACAATCAGAAACATTTCAACTGCAATCAAAACGTTATCTTGTGGGTAATTACCTTACAACTGCATCCACTTCTTGTTCCGTTGATATAAATACAACAGAGTATGCACTTGATCCACCTTGCAACGATCTTGACAATAATGTCTTCCCTTGTAGCATTCAAGGTCGCTTACTCACTGAGTCACCATTCGTGCATTTGCACTTATTACTGTGACTGAATGTATGGAAAGGGTAATCATTATTTGAACAAAGATATATCCTTACCTTGAACCAAACAAAAACGGAACTTAAGACGAAGTGGCTTCCTTGATGTTTACTTCCATATCTATCCAAGTATGTGAGGGACCTGAGTTATAAAAGATTTGTTACGTTATCTGGAAACGTTTCCTTAAATGATGTGTGTAACAAGCAAAACATGTCAAAATTTCGATAATAATATCTTTTCTGACAATATAGTACCATAATAATGAATAATGAGTTAAATGATTGAATCGTACGTTTTATAGTAATGACATGACTGTTTGACAACTGCATCTAATTTTTCGTATGAATGTGTGTGTGTGTGTGTGTGTGTGTGAGTGTGTTAGTCAGAGAGCCCAGAGGGATTTAATCAGCATGGCAAGTACAAAAGAGGCCTTTTTTCCGGTGTCAAGAAACTGTCTAACTACACTAGTGTCGTTTTTTTCATTTGCGACATTCTCCAGGCCGATCGCGACAGCAACCCTGCCGATGCTTCTAGGCTGTTGCCACAGGTGCGGTTCCACCCCCATTCTTAGGAATTGTACTCGAGTTGACGAATCTGATTTTGTTTTTGAATTGTATCAATTAACAAATCACTGGTTTACTGATGTAACATTAGGAAATTACAATAAATACAAGTTGTTAGTTATCAACATCTTCAAATTACAAATCAAACGACGGAAAACTATCGAAATCAGTTGAAAATGCGCGGGCCCTAAGCGCCTCCCATCATACTTCTTCATTCGTCCATCGACAATGGTTTCGAAGGTCACACTTCTTTAAATATTTTGAAAATGACACTATTTATTGATTGATATCAACCACATTCAAAAGGATATATAAGTTTACGTATGCATATTCAATCATACATACATAATAAGTAAAATGATTATGTAAAACCTAATACAGATTTTCATAATAATTCTTTTAACCATTCGAACACATTATGTAAATAAAACATGAGATACTTCCCCGTATATTATTCGTCACAGAACACTTTTGGAGGCCTGAATATTGCCCAAGATTAAAGCATAAATGATATAAGAAAAACAGTAACAAGCCTTGCATGACATAACGCATAAAAATGTACACATACGAAAGATAAACCTGAACCTCGCTCTTCTTAGCCGTAGCCTTATTAATACGAAAGCATATAAACCTTAAACTCTATATTGTTATAAATGGTGGTAGTGTATATTTTTAATATTATATTTCTGCATATATATATATCTATCTATCTCTATATATATATATATATATATATATATTATATATTATATATATATATATATATATATATATATATATATATATATATATATATGCATATATATATATATATGCATGTGTGTATACATATGTGTTTAAGTATATATGTGTGAGTGTGTATACTGTATATACAGGTATGTATGTATGTACACATTTCTGTATGTATATATATAATATATATACATACAGGCACACATACACGCGCGCGCGCGCGTAAATACTTTTAAACTAGTACTTAGTACAATAATATCCTCATTAACATCATCAAAGTTACTAATATTGCACCATACAGTGTAGCATCAACTTTGGACCCCATTTTCTTCCAGTTTTAGAACGGGCAGAGGTGCTCCGCGCGCTCATCAGCCAGGTGCAGTTGCTTATATATGACTCCGCCCCCATAAATAGGGGCGGAGTCATAGGAAACTAGTACTACACCTCTTGGCGCCGGAAAAAAGACCCAAGGTTTGACACCTGGGTTGAACACCAAAGGCGCCATGGACCCTAAACGGCCATTTTTACGTGCTGCAACTGTGGTATCCGCGAGGAGGCGCTTCTCAAACTACCCTCAAAAATTGTTTTTATCAGCATACTCGAGTACATCTTCCAAACCTAATCTTCATTGGGGTCTGATTAAGGATCCATCATTCTTAAGTGAACACATTGTGGATTTGGCCACTTTAGAACGACCTAATTAATGCTAATTATCACTTTTAATCAGCATGTTGAGTACATCAGTGAAACCTTTAACGAATATACTTTATGGCATGCTGATATCATATTGGTTTTGTGGACAAAGCCACTTAAGAAGAGGGCAAATGTGGCCCGCCCAATTTCCGTCTTCCGGTACCTTTAAAATGACTGCTACTCCCTTACTATTTGGGGTACTGGGTCAAGATTGGACTTCAAATGTAGATTTTAATGGGAGGAATAAGGATCACTTGTTTAATCATCCATTCTCGAGTACCGTTATTACACAAAACAAAAAAGGTGGAAAAACGGGTACCCCTTTTACTCCCACTGGCTTTAAAGTTTTATCAGCATGGTTGAGTACATCCATGAAGCCTACACCAAAATGTTCTTCTACCAACAAATAATAAGAATCAATCATTCTTAAGTGTCAAAATTTTGGACAAATCCACTTAAGAACAACGGACAGGTCAAAGTGCACTCCTTGACCCAACCAAAGGTTTCAATCATCATGCGGAGTACATCAATAAAACTTGCAGGATATGTTCCCTGAGACATCTTGACAGCATCCAAGCCTTTCTTAAGTATCTCCATGCTGAATACGACAACTTAAGAACTTTAAATCGGGCATTGTAGTGACCCCCAATAGTAAAGTATCATTTGACATGCCTGGGTGGCGGTAATAGCCAATAACGAAATGGAAATAAACAAATGTTATTTAATACAAAAAATATATGAAAACACACAATAATGGTACATAAAAACATAAAATGTGGCAGTTTTTATACTGAACTGTGGTAATAACGATGATTATTGACTGTACGCAGATAATCACAACTTGAAACTTGGATGGATTCATGGCAAAATATTAGCACTCCATGTTAGTAATTAGTTAAACATATGAAATGTTTTTGCTGCTCACATGGTCTATTTTGGTTTGATATTCCGTTTTGTATTGTTTTACTTATAAGCATATGAGAAGAGTGTCCGACCCCGCAAAAAGACCGAGATATCGACTCCTGCAAATCAAGGGATGGAAGGAACTAGCAGTATTTTGGTAGATACAAACCGATTAGTGGTGGCCGTGCAAAGCATTGTCCCCAGAGGTAACACGGATACCAAGAGGAGGATCATTCCTCTTAATTTATCTAGTGAAGGCATATCCAGGAGAAGTGAGAAAAGCAAACACAACATGAACGTGAATATTTAAGAATCACCGAAGACCGTGATGAAATCGTGTTCGCTCTCAAACACACCGATGAGAGCCTCCATCGCCATTTCAGTGTAACCGACCCGAACAACTGAAGTTGGAAACATTTCCGAGAAATCCCGGATCGGATAAAGTGATGTGGCAGGGTATCTCTCCTGAAACCTCGACCATGCAGATATCATACGCATCAATTGAACGATTTGGTTAAAGTGGAAAAGTCGGAGGTACAACACTGGCTCAAAAAATAATTGTTGCATGCCTTAGAGAGAGTTTCGCCTTCTAGAGCAACAAAGAAATAGCGCCGAAGGGATAATGTATTATTTAGGATGATGCAGAAATACGGAAGATGAATTTAACTAGTATTCTCGGCACGGTGGCGCTATGGACGATAGACCATCTTAGAGACGATGAGGCTACGGGTGGACTTCGGGTGGACTTCGCCAGAAGCCCCTTGGGCAGGGAAAAGAGTAGGAAATATCAATCTACTGCTCAACCACTTACGCTACTGTGAGTATTACGGGAACTGCCGACATGACAGATGTGGCACGTTTAATTAATCCACCTTTCTATGCCCCAGCCGCACAGACAAGAGGTCGGAGAGAAAGCGGTCGAGATTTCAGTAGAGGACGCATTGTCCGTGGGAAACATAGCCGTGGATGTGGCGGAACTGGAGGGTCACGAACAAAAGACAGTGTCACCAACGTCCCGAGACTTTGTTTTGTTTGTGGTGACCTAGATCATCTCGCTAATGTTAACTCTAGGAAAAAGGTCAGAGGAAACTGAAAGAATGGTGAAGGCTATCCAGTGGGGAAACCGTCGAAATAGTAACATGGACAGAGTGATGACAAGGCTGACATGATCCTTATAGGTGTTATGGGACTCGATTTAGCAAACTACTCAATCCTTAGTCTCACAGTACGTCATATTCAGACCAAAGCATTAGTGGACTGTGGGGCAGTCCCGAACGTCATTTATACCCCACTTTATGAAATAATCAAAGCACGAGGATGTGCGAAGTTTATAACCTCCGATATACATCCACCAGGTAACGAGTTGTCATGGAGCAGGAATCGCTCAACTACTTTGAATGTTCAGGGATCAAAAGCTTGACATAGAATTTCTGGCGGCAGATCCAGAAAAAAATAATTTCCCTGGGGGATTGCAAGTGCTGCTTTGTGTGGGCATGCTTGTAAAATCTGGTGCAATTAATGCTTTTGGGCTATAGGAAATGTAATTAAGGAGAACAGGCACAACAAACCCTGGACCTGTACAGACAGTGAGTGCGATTCTAGAGGAATCAAATGCAGCCTTAAAGACGCGACAACTATCTACTTCCACTCCAGTGGCAAATGACAAACTTCCCACACAAAGGAAGTCTTAAACTACAAATAAACACTGCCGGTAAAAACATTCCGACACAGGACACCCCGACTTCGCAATCTTACAGATCTAGTCTGGGGCTTATAGAGGTGGATAATCACCGTTGAGAGAGGGATGTGTCACGAGTCCATAATCAGTGTGGATTCAGCAGAAGAGAACCCCCTAACCATGCTGATGTTGTTTGGGTTACTCTTCCATCTTGCGACGAGATGTTCCATTATGTTGATTCATGGGCAAAAACTAGCTGAAGGGGTCACACTGTTCGATTGTTTGGCCTGCAATTTCCTTGCTAGTATTTGTAACAAATCTAAGGATCAATATAGGGTGCCAACCCACATCACAACTACAGTGGAGATATTAATAGTAGTACATCAGAGGATGCAGTCATCCTTACTCTCAACGATATACTCAAGGCTGACTGGTCCCCCCTTTCGCACCTAGGCCCCAGCAG